TTATATATGTACATTGTAGCGTTTTAAATTTGATTTTAACTATAAAATATTTTCAGTATTAAATTTTGTAGTACGCCCCTGTCGAGAGGAAATCTACGTTCATCTTTTGCAAAGGAATTTTAAAACGATCGATATATTATGGTGTTTTAACTTCAAGTTCCTAGAAAAAATATTACCTAAAACGCAATAACGCTGGGAAGTAGATTCAAGGTTGTTGGTCGAGGTAGTTTATTTTTGTGATTGAGTTCGTAGAACGAACGGGTTTCAAGACGTAAGGGAAAGTGATTTGCGTTGGGTTTCAGATCGACGCAAAAGTCAAGTGAGGTAAGCAGAAGCATTCGAATTGAAAAGACGTGTCGCACTTCTAATCAGAAGCCGGCAAAAATTTGTGTGATGGTTTAGGTTTCAAGACCTGTGAAAGCTGGTAAATTATTCTCTGTAAAATTGCATTTTAGAATAGAATAACCACATTAAGATTTGTACAGTATACCAGAACATGATGAAATTTTGAAAGCAGTACATAGGGTAAGCCACAGCCTCGTTTGTCGTCTGTTTGCTCCAACCTCGTTTGTTTTCTTTGATCGTCGTTCTGGACTATGGAGATGGTCTTCTTTTGTTCCTGTTGAGAAGTTGTCCATATAGCTTCTATTTCATAGATGTTAGAAAGATTTTGCAAAAGTTAATAGTAAAATATGTGAACGAAGGTAACATTTAATATATTAATTTTCAAAGTAAAATAGACATCTTTTTCCTAAGTAGCAATAATTGCTTTGGGTTGTCTTTATTCTGTTAGCTTTAATCTGTTTGTTTGTTGTAAAAATTTTTAATTTGATTATATAGAAAAGATGTTTTATAGAAAAGGTTAAATTTTCATTTACAAGGATATTTCTTTGTATTTTGCAACTATTTATATAGTATATTTTTGTGCCAACTGTATTTTTGATAACTGTTTGCTTGAGACAAAAAAAAATGTTTGATTTATTTCTCTGATTCATTTTTGTATTTTAATTTAGAAAAGTCTCCTAACCCTTGTATGTATTCTTGATTTTGGGAAAGAAGAACTTTTATTTCTTCCAGCAGGAAGTCTCCTCGAAGCGGCGTCCGAATAGAAAATAGCTAGAGGTATTTGTTGTCTGTCATATTTTGTTCAATTTGTTCCAGGAGATTTATGTTAATATCCCTTTGTTTCATTTTTGTAATTACCCCAATCTGACCCCTTTGGTTCAACTTATCCACGATCTAGCTCTCCAACTAACTCCTGAGTGCCGTACGCACCAGTATGGATTATTTGTTTGCTCCATCTCAATCCCCTTAGTTTTTGTCCCCAATTTTCTACTCCATAATCTTACCCTGAGGTAGGCAAAATATATCGTTACAACATGATCTAAAAAGTGAGCCGCCTAGTTATCACCGATCATAACTTTTTTACCTTCCAGCTGTCTTGCTTGTGGTAATAATATGGTCTCAAACCAGTCTGTAAAACAAGTTACCTCCATCCATTTTTTGTTCGGTTATATCTAGCTCTTCTTGCGCAACATCCACCGCCACCATGCCATCAGAAGCACCGCACATTATTACTGGTGTGGCAGCTCTACTATGATTAGTGATTTGCTATGGGTATTTGGTAACTCCTCTATATAGTAATCTTCTTTTCCCCGGATCATCACTAACGTTGGTTTCATCGTAATTGAAAACGTGCGATGGAGAGCAATTTAAGAGAGTTGTTCTAAAATTATTGAAATATAATTCATTAATAATATAATTGAAAAATAATAATATAATAATAATGGAAATCCCCAATCGGCACATTTGACAATGCAGGACACGAGTGATTTTTCTTGCAGCGCCGACAACGCAGTTTTTTATTTTTCTATTTATTATATAAAGTACCATAAGAGTTTTAAATATTTCTGAAGCGACTTTAACAGACAAGTTTCCGTTTACTGTTTGAAGCAGTGTTCAAGAGTTTAGTTAGAGAAGTTCTTCTAGCTTCTTGATCCCAACTTTCGTTTATAAACTCGCGGCATTTCTTTGTTATATACATAATGATAAAAACCTGAAATTAATTAACGGTTTTGGGTTTCATTAAGAAAACTACAAAAAGAAATAAAATATCAAAGTCACCCCGAAAAATGTATCAAAGTGACCCTGGAGAAGAAATCATGTAATTTCATGAATTAGTCACATAAATAACTTAGGTTAAATATTGTAAAATATTGACAGTTAAACATAAAGTAAGGCAACATACACAAAATTACCTAAAATTGTATGGTAAGAGCTGTATGTTTAAATTTAGTTACACAATCTAAAATTTTAAAATTAAAACAAAAACTTGAACAGTGCATTTATAAGAGTGTACTTTTAATATTGGCTACAAACGCCTTCCGCTACAGTTAATCAATGCAACAAGTTCAGACAACCACCATAACGAACGAAATATTTGGGTTGCATACTATCTTGAAACAAAATATTCATGTTTTATCAAAGTCACCCCATCTTACGGCACACAATTTTTAACAATAAACATTACCTATTGTTAAAAAACAGAAGCAGGGGTCAGTCATCCTTCCTGGGAAAATAAAGTGTAGAAAGTCATTGGAAAGATATTCTCTATAAGAGCAGCCCACATATAAGTCGATGGTAAGAGATATAGTTCATTTTCATCATATTGATAGCACATTATGTATGCAAATCCCTAAACGGTTGATACGGGTGACTCAATGAAAAATAGATATTTGTCAACAAGTTTACAGAAGTATATAGGAAAACAATTTTAAATTGGGTATGACCACCACGTATAAAGGTTGAAGCAGAATAGAATACAATAGTTTTAGGATTACTAATCCCTAAATAAAGTTGCCAGTGTCGGAGTGATGAAGATTAACAGGTACTAATGAATTTGCAAGAAATGTAAGATGTTTATTTTATTGGTTTTATAGAAAATAATTTGTGGCCGTAACAGGGGCCGATTTGTAAAAAAATGAATATTATTTTAATCAAATTCCATTTCAGATTTACTGCTTTCTTCAGAATCTAAGGAATCTTCAACTCCAATGTTAATTATTACCGGTTCCAGCATTGCATCAGTCATATTATCCAAATTCCACAATTTATTTTCTTCCTTGTGAGCATGACTAACGTCATTTTTCCAATTTTCTGGAGTTACTTTTGATAGGGAATGTTCCAATAATTGTTGTTTAGTCTTCCTTAGTAAAAAGTCTTCCAATTTAAAAGTTTTGTTGTTGCGTCCGACTTCACCATTTACTTAAGACCATATATTTTCTATCGGATTCAGATCACAGTGGTATGGGGGTAAACGTAAAATAATTATATCAAGGCTTAAGGTCATTTCATCAATTATATATTTTTTATAAGCTGCTTTATGTTGCCTTACAATAGGTAATAATTTCTTTATTTCGAATTCTTCTTGTACTCAATTGCGTGTTTATCCAACCATTCGATTATCTCTCCTTTTTTCCATGCTGTTGGTCGCAATTTTTCTGCTAGTCTTGAATGGTAACTAGCATTATCCATGACTATGATGAAATTTTTTGGAAATAAATCCAACATTTGCTCAAAATATTTTTCAAAAACGTCAGCAGTCATTTCCTCGTGGTAATCTTTGGTTGATTTTGAGGCAAAACTTAATAATCCCCCATTGACAAAACCGTATTCGTTTCCAATATGGGTTATTATGAGTCTGCGTCGTTTTCCAACGGGAATATTGTTTATTCCAGTAGATACACCTTCGATGAATGCCTGACGGGAACTTTTCACATTTGTATCAAATCATAGATATGGTACAGTATGACCTTCATTTAGCCAAGTATCGTCCAAATAAAAAATTGTTTTCCCTTCTTTTCGGTACTTTTTAATAGTTTTTAGATAATCTCGTCTCCAACATACAATGTAATCTTTTTCAATTAAAACGGATTTTCTTCTATTCTTTAGCCAACGAAATCGCATCTCTCTCAATAGTCCCCACAATTTCTTGTTGCTTATGATTGGTAACTCTTCGTTTTCTCTAATTAATGTTTGGATTTTGTCCAATGTTGGAAATTCTTTGTTAAAAAAAAACGAGTAGACGCTGCGTCTTATCACGTTTTTATGCATTTCTTCAATTTCCAAGGGTTTACTCCCTTCACTCTTCTTGGGAGATGAAACAGTTCCTCATTTTCTTTCTTTCAGGAATCTATAAATTGTTGCTTCTCCAACCCCTGTAATATTTGAACATATGTTAATGATTTCACGAACATTACTTAAAGGGCGTTGATGTACAAGTGCATCTTTTTTGTATGTACATTTAATATTATATTTTTCTCTCTTAGACTGAAGGCACCTTTAAAACTACACTTAACCGGAATAAAACCTGTTGTCGACGTCATTTTTAAATGCAAATAACAAAATATCGACACCCAAAACGTAGGTAGGTAAGACATGAACAATGTACATCTACAAACTGAATGGAAGATGCAAACAATTTCTAATTTATATTATTGGCATAAACTGTAATGTGGCATAAAAACTACTTAAACTATCATTAGTGAAGCCTTATCAACAATTCCAGGTAATCGTTCAAAGAAGGTATTCTTTTTATGTCAGGCGATAACTTGTGTAGAAAACAATAATCACCTTTAAATTACGGTTTACATTAATTTATTTCATGAAACATTGAATTCTCTCGTTAATCACTCGTTTATAATTAACAATAATCGGGTGGCATATATACCGACGTTTTTTACGCACAAAAAAGGTATAGTGAGATTAGTGGACACTTATTTTACAGAAGATTTTTTAAAAGATAATGAATTGTTGACGGCATCTTAATATATTATTTTTTTTTTATCTATTTCGAAACAAGAGAGGGTGACGCCTATGGTTTTTTGACCTGTTGAGGATTTGCATACATAATGTGCTATCAATATGATGGAAAAGAACTATAGTTGCCCGTATAATAGAAAATCACGATACTTAGTAATAATGAAATGACTAGAGAGATATATTCTTAACAAAACTTTAATAAATATTACTATTTACATTATTTGTACAAAAATGTAGTTATTGAACGAGGTGATAAATTCAAAACTAGTTCTCCTTTGATTGTATCATAAAAGCTTCTTTGTTGGGTACTGTTTGTCCTAAAAAAATTAACAATTAAAACGTGTTACTATTAAATATTTACAGAAACATTTTCTAAATAAAGAAAATCAAATCAAATTGATGTCATCCAATTCAAAGTATTTGACTCAAAATCGATATATTTAAATAGCACCAAATTTAAAACATTACCAATTAACGACTACAGAGGCTTTAGCATGTATCTTAAACAAAAAACAGCCTTTAAAAATAGTAGAAGCAGAGTGTTAAAAACTTAAATAAACTCACGAACAGGAGTGTAGAAATTTATTCGATTATCAATCAGACAACAAACGGCAGAATTTAATTTACAGAAAAGTGTTTGTAGAACATTGTGTTTGTATTTGCAAAACCGTACTATGTTTATATAGTTATTGCGTTTTGGATCTATTCCGTGATATATCAGTGATGGATAAACTTTTTCAGAAGCTGTCCAAAAACTAAAAGAAAAATTTATTATAACTAAAAGATAGACTATAATAATTTTGGTACTTAAAAAATACAATACGTGAGCATTTTTGTAATGGCATAAGCGTTAGTTATTTAGCCAGTTGTAATATTCTCTATCAATAATAGAGAATCAATAGTTTAGTTAGAGAATCAATAATATATTCTCTTATTAAACAAATACACAATTCTATCCCCAATACAAAATTGAAAGATGAAACAGAAATGTGTGCCCGTAAAATCATTGGTTTGATGATAAATGTAAGAATGCAACAAAAGAAAAAAAATGAAGCCTACAGAAAGATGCTTACCCGTCGAACCACAATAACTGTAGAGAATTATTAGACAAAGAGATGAAAAGAAAAGAGGATACATAAAAGAAAAAAACGAAACCACTTTAATAAGAAACATGAATATATAGAAAATCTCAGCAGTAAGAAAGTACTCAAAACATTCTATAATAATGTCGCGTACCCCCAGTAGTACAGAGAAAAATGACGCAAAGTAGTTCCTGCATCTCTTTCTAATTTGCCACGTTTATTAATCGCTTGACCTAAGTGACCAATGGGAAGGTCACATGGCCAATAAACCAGGGCCATTAAAAAGAAATGCAGGGACTGCTTTGTGTCAATTTTCTCTGTTGCACTGGGAGAATGCGACTGTATTATAGCGGCCAGTCTATTTATATTATACGTCTATGGATTCATATGCAGAGATGGGCATCGACACGTCGACTTTAATTGTCGACACAGACGTGTCGACAATGTCGAGAACGTGTCAACAATGTCGACAATGTCGACAATGTCAGCAACGTGTCCATAATGGAAAAAAGTGAGGTTATGTTATGAAATTATTCAGTTGTAAACTTTGAATGTGATCTGATCTGATCAGAATCAAAATGAGTGGCAGAAAACTGAATAAAAACTATGATATATTATCATTCAAAGTATTAAAGATAGAAGGAAAGCACGCGGCTAAATGTTGTGTATGTGGAAATGTGATAAAAAATACAGCTGCAGCAAGATTGCAAAGTCACAGGTAAGAAGAAATATTTTAATTAATTTTAGCTGGTTAGCTATAGAGATTTATTCTCTGAAATTGATATTTGTATCGGCTGATAACTAACCCCGTCCCGTACTTTCATTTTAAGAAACGTCTGCAAGTTAGATCGTGGCAATGGTAATCAATCCAATAATGAAATGTCGCATGTTTCGATATACGAAAATACTGGCTCAGACACAGGTTTTACACCTACAGTTAATCCACAAGTGAGTATATAGGACGTATGTTCTACTACATATTTAGCAGGGGCGGATCTAGAAAAATTTTTGGGGGGAACTTTTTGAACTTACATTTATCTATAATATAAAAATGAATCGTAAAATGTGTTCGGAGCCGCATAACTCAACAACGCATGGATCACCATTTCGGTAGTAGTATATTGGAGAAAACATGGCGTCAAAAACCGTATAGCCATCTAACGGCAAGAAGTGAAAATAACGCACTATATATTATTGTAGATTTCTTGATTACTATTTAATTAGAATTCGGAAGAGGACATAAATTGCATCAGTTTTCACCCCAGAATTTGTATTCTGAGGTTTTCACGTTGTTGCATCTCTATATACAGGGTGTCCCATTTAAAAAACACCAAGTTTAGTATTTTACGGCAAAAAACGGATTGGCCAATTGAATTAAGTACAAAACGCTGTATCTATGCCAACTTCTGTATACAGGGTGTCCGTAGATCCGCCCTTTATATTTAGTCACCTTAGAGTTTCTTTTTATTTTGAATTTTAGAATACAACGAACGGTAGTTACGAAGTTATGGAAGATGGTTCGCTAGCTATTGTGACTGGAACTTTACCTGAAAACATGCTAGATGGAATTATAGAAAATTCATTAGATACCGATGCCGCCTTATTGGAATTGGAAGAAAACAATGGTGTAGCAATTCAAGGCACTTATAGTATTGTTGAAAATATGATGTTATCAACTACTGATACTGAGAGTAGTAATTTGACTAACTTAAGTACTCCAACTTCCTCCAGCACAAGCTACACAAGCACGAATAAAAGAAATTTATTCGCTACATCTCAAGCTAGACCAGCCAAAAAATCAAAGAAAATCACCGACTATATGGACATATTACAAGAGTATGAAGAGGAGAAGATAAGCACTGTACTAGCCAAATTTATATTCGGCTGTAACTTACCATTTACTGCGGTAGAATCACCTCTCTTTAAAAAATTTATAAAAACGATCCGTCCTGCTTATTTAGACAAAATTCCTGGCCGGAAAAAACTTTGTACATCGCTTTTAAATAAGTGCTATGAAGACTGTATTGAGATTCCACGTAAAAAAGTGGAAACCGAGTCAGTCATTTTGTGTGACGGTTGGAAAAACTCATCTACTAATTCTAAAACGGTTGTGACAATGTTGCATAGTGCAGACGGAAAAAATGCCTTTCTTGATGCTTGGGATTTAACCACGGAGTCTGAGACTGGAGAAAAACTTGCCGAAATAATAACAGAATCTAAAAAAATTGCAAAAGAAAAATACGATGTAGATGCGTACGGTATAGTTTCGGATAATGCTAGTGCAATGATTAAAATGGGATCCCTCCTCAAGCACAACATGTGGCACTCTACGTGCAGTAGCCACACCGGCAACCTTTTAGCCAAAGACGTGCTGGATAAAAAGTTAGTCGACAATGTGGTCATTGTCCTCAAAGAATTTAAGCAACCAGATTTAGAAAAAATGATAGTTGATAAGGGAGGGCGCAGAATCCAATTGCCGGCCGAAACAAGATGGTGCTCTTACCGAGATTCTTTCAAAAGTCTCCTAGAAAATCTGGTATATATGAAACAAGTAGCCGCTGTAACGAAAAAAAAGATTAAGCCGAAAGTCAAGGAATTAATCTTCAACGATGAATTTGTGGATGAGATTCAACAGAACATAGAAATTTATGAACCCATTTGTAATCTGATCAATGCTTGTCAGAAATCTGACACATCTGTAGCAGATGCCGTTCATCTGTGGCTCAATTTGAATCTGCCAGATAACCTTAAAGAAAAATTGAAACACAGACAACAAATGGCGTTAAACGTGTACGCATTAACTGCGTACTATCTGCATCCGAAATATGAAAATTCCAAGCTTACGTCAGAGCACACTGATAGAATAACTCAGTTCTTACTCAGAAAGTTGTGCAATCAGGGCATAGAAGAATGGGAAAAATTTAACACTAAATCGGGTAAGTCTTTCAGACAAAATTATCGCTCTTTTGATTTTTAATATATTAGGTTTACAATTTCAGGAATATTCTCAACACTTTGGGAAAAAGGAGTTGAAAAGCCTCTAGTATTTTGGCGAGTGGTCAAACTGGAATGCCCAATTCTTGCTAAAATGGCTCTCAGACTTCTAAAAATGCCAGCCTCCTCAGCTCAAATCGAGAGACTCTTTTCAAATTGGGGACACATTCACAGTCTGATAAGAAATAGATTAACGTTCACTAATTCCAAGAAATCGGTACATATTTATGTTTCATTAAAGGGAAAGTATCCTGATAAAAATAGTTATGACCTGGACGAGGAAGAAATTGTAGATATGGACAGGGAAAGTACAACTATTTGATGTATTATTGGTTAAATGTTTTCTTTGGTTAAAAATTAGCAAAACCGCAAAATGTTGTAATGTTTTTATTATGCAGTCTCTGCCAAAGCACGAAGAGATTCAACACTGTTTCAGTAATTATTATACTATAATTATTATAATAAAGAGTTAGTAAAATTTAAAAAAAAGTAAACGAAATGTTAGGAAACAAGGTAAGGTTTCAATGTACTGAGATATGTTTGATTGTGGTTTTGAATCTTACCTCGTTTACTGACGTTTAGGTTTACGTTTCTTTTTAATTTTTTTAAACCTTTCTGTAAATTTTACGAGTTTACGAGTAACGATAGAAAATTAAAAATCTATGAAAATTTGTTTTGCTGGTTTTTTCTGGTTTTGCATCTATATGGTAATATTTTAGATTCATTACATTGCATTACTCTATCATGAGGTTTGCACATAATAAATTGTCTCTATATGATTCTATTTAAAATCCATTTACACTTGAAAAACCTGCAATCAAACAATTATGGAATATCCTATGAATTTGACAATTGCAAGTTAATAGTGAGGTTAAAAGTTTCAAAAGTTTGAGATTATTTGGTCTCTTTGCAACTTGTTGAAACATTAATGCATACTTTTTCAATAAGTCAGCGCAGCCAGATTAACCTAAAATTTCAAATTAGTGCGCACGGAACGTCATTCTGATCGTTTGCTAATTGTCGACATACTCGACATTGTCGACATTGGCAACAAATTTAAATCACTCGACATCAACATGATTGTCGACATGTCGACAATCGAATTGTCGACATGACATTATCCACACCGTCCATCCCTGTTCATATGCTCTTCATGATACCAAGAATGATGTTGCAAAATGCTTATTTTTCGTTCCACAAAAGAATTTATTTTGCACATTTACAAAAAGTGTTGTTTAATC